AAAAAAAAAAAAAAAATGTTCTGTGGGTGGGGAAGAGTGCAATGTAGACATTGACAGGGCTGGCTGGGGCATAAGGGTACTTTATTGCAGGGGCTGCCTTCTGGCTAGCCCTGCATTTGAGCACCCTTGTGCCCCAGCCTGCCCCTCTGCAGCACGTGAGCTGGGTCAGAGCAGCTCTGGGCTGGCGGGCTGACTCCCTCCTCCCCCCGCCCCTTTCCAGTTCATTGCATGTGTAAAAATGCCGACTAGCTCATAGATTAGAGCAGGACTGTCCAACTTGTAATGCGTTGGGGATAAATTGCAACCCCTGGGCACCTGCCTGGCTGCTGGTCCCCCACATTGTTCTAGCTACAACAACAGCTAGAGCCTGTAGCATTGTTCTGGCTACAACAACAGCTAGGCATGTAGTGGGTGGGTGGAGGGAATGTCTGTGTGACATGTGGCCCACTGGCATGTGCTTCACCTTGTGCAGCCCATGTAGTATGTAACCCCTAGGGCCCCCATATGCCTAGAAGTTGGACAGCGCTAGGTTAGGGAACTAGTTGATGGCAGCCATTCACACTCTCATCCCAACTCTGTATAGGTCACAGCTGAATGTAAATTGACCTCTTGGATGGAAGGGGGCAAAAATGTAATGATGAGTATGAAGGGTCCCTGGCATGGTGTAATTGGGGCAAAGTGACTTGCTGGTCAGTAGGGTGAGAGATGGAAACAAGTCACTGAAAATAAAGGGTGTGGCAAGGTGGTCCACAGAGTATTTATGACAAAGCCTGGATGGATCAAAGATAATCTTTGTGTGCGCAATGTACTTTGCCTACAAAGAAAAAGCAATGATCAATGAAATTTGTGACTTGTACCAGTGATATACTTTGCAACGTGTAATTTTAACAGTGGGGCAGAAATTGATGTGATGGACTAATGATATTAAGGGCCCAAATGCAGAAGAAAAGTCCAGCTCCAACATTTACAGTGGTTAACTGTATCTGTATGATGTGCCATTTAGGACCCAATAAGTCAGAAATGATATCTAAAACTCTTTAAGCAAGCAAAAGATTTTGCAAGTTTTGATATCAGTTTAAGGTACGTTGCTTAAAAAGAAGGCTGTTGTTTGCTGCAGTAGTTCTATTTTGGAATTGACTTAAAGTAGGTATTTAGCAGAACACATTATAGTAGTTCAGACTTGTGAGACAGAGGCATGTAAAAGATGATAGTAAGGGTCCACAGTTTAGAGCCTGTCACACTGCTGCAGATGGAAAATTGTCCTGTGCATCTGTGCTGTATTATATTCTAGCAGGTGGGTGTCACAGTACTTTATGAATTTGTCTGACAATTACAGATATAGCCCTTCAGTCAGACAGCCTGACACCATTATCATAGCCTCAGGTTATGCTGTGTTTGAGTCGCTACCAGATACTAAGAATATGCCTTCACTGTAGTGAATGTGGCTTGTGTAGCTCTATACAAGTTAGCTTAACAGTAGTTAACCTGGGTGCTGCTGCCTATGTAGCAAAAGTTCAGTATAGGCTTGTGAAGCCTGTCCAAGAAGCTGGCTGAAGTTTCTGGCATTTAGTCTGAGCCAAAATTTATTGCTATGATTATACTGTTAGCATCAGTATCCAAACTCGTTAATTCACTGCTCACATGGGTCTGTCTGTGATTGCCATGTTCATATACCCTGAGCAAGACACTTGGCTGTATCCTAATTATCATATAAAATTGAGACAGAGAAATAGTTCCACGTCATCAGCAAATTAAAAACTCTTCACCCTTTACCCATTTGGGGATGTTCCTGATGATTTTGCATACATGTCACATTGGAGGTGTACTCACATACACAAGAGGGCCATTAAGACAGAAAAATAGCACCAGACTAGGAGCACAAGCCTGCTCTGCCCCAGACTTCTGGGTGACTTTTGGCTATGTCACTAGATCCACAAATGTTTACTATGCTGAACAATATGCATTGCTCTCGGCTTGGAATTCACAAGCTTTAGTTAGACACCAAGGGCATTTTTACACGTTCCTGATGTAGTGCTGGGCACTTTTAATTAGCAAGCTGTGTTGGATGAAGGTGTATAAGCGGTGCAGCATGCATCAGTTCTGAGAAAATGGTGGCGGTGTGCTTTGAACTAAAGCACATTGAATGTGTTTTAGTTCAAAGTGCACTGCCTGCCATTTTCTCAGTGCTGATGTGTGCTGTGCTGCTTATATACCTGCACCTGATGCAACACCAGGTGCATCGATTACGTGCTCCAGCAGACTCAGTTAATCGAGTCTTCTCTGATGCGCTGGATTTACAGCTCACATGCGTCAGTCTGTGATTGCCATGTAAGTGCCTCAAGGCTCCCAATATAAAGCAGGGGTAGACAAAATTGTGCCTTAAATCCTGCTTCTTTGGGGGACCTACTTAAGGCCTGGAAGAGGTGCTGCATACACGTGTTCAAATGATCTGGAAGAATGCTCCCTGTTTTGTCTCTTTTTTTTTTTTTTTTTTTTTAACCAGTTGAAAACCTTACACAGAGATGTCTGAACAGATATTTGAATCTGGAGTCCTTGGAGAGCAGAGAGCTTGCAGTGCTGATGCTGTGCATCCTGGGGGCCTCTGTGCATGTATGCTCTCTAGGCTCCCTTAGTCTGCTTAGGGACTATGAAAGAAAAAGACCCAGACTGCTCAGGATCACCCTGTCTCCCTGCAGCATAGTGCGGGGATTGTGAAGGTGGTGTGTTCTGTTCCTAGCTCAGCTGGAGCAGCAGAATCTAGTGGGTAACACACCCTTGGGGGGTAGCAAAACTCCCTGGCATACTGGAGCACTGTGCTGTGGCTTCTCTCAGGAGAGAACACATATAGACATTCACTCTCCTGGGAATGATTTAATCCTGGTTGTTCCTGGCTTATTTTTCTCCTTGGGTAACTGCTTTTGCTCTGGGAGAAATATCCTGAACATCTGTACATGCAGGACTTCTCCTGTTAAACCAGCTGTTCTCCCAGGAGAAAGAACGTCTGTATGGGAGGCAGGATTCTTTCTTGTGGCATTTGTCACTTTCACCTGATGAGCGGGGTATGTGCCCTGCCTCTAGTAGTTCGGTGCTTAGAAAAAATCAGCTCTTAGCTTTCACTTGATGTTTGACTACAGAAAAGTAATAAACAAATTCTTTTGTTGCAGAGAATCTAGAAATACCACAACAAGTTGGGATGTTTTAAACAATATGGCTTCCCATTTGAAATTTCTGGATTTATCTTGTAAATCATGTTTGCACTTCTAACAGTACTAACACTACATGGTACCCACCAGCACCCCTGAAAGGGTCTCAAGGCACCTTAGGGTGCTGTGGTACCCTTGTTGAGTATCATTAGCTTAGAAACAGGATTTCAGTGTTTGACAGTTGAGGGTTCAAACCAACTGCTCTTATCTCCCAGGGGACCGTCCCAGCCACCAGGCAATAGGCTATTTTGGGATTGAGTCACTCTGTCTGTTCTCTTGGTTTTTTTGTTGGTTTTTTCACTTTGTAATAAACGAATTCAAGATTTGCTGAGGTAGAGAGAGGGGAGTATTACTTTAACTTAGTGATTAGGGCATTCGCATAAGAGCTGAGATCTGGATTTTGATCTCTCTCTCTCCCCAGGACTGCTTCATGTAAAACTAAATTCTTGAATTGTAGGAAACCATCATGCCATTTATATAATAATACCACAGTTACCCAAATCCAAGATGATTTAAAATATAAGATGATTCTATGCATGTAAAATTATAATTTTGTTATGGTTTTCCATATGTAGAATGTAATTATTAGAGGATTGTCAGCGCTGTGGCAGGAGTGAGGGGCCAGAGCCCTGTTGTTTGAGGGTAAAATACTTCATCTTGGATTTGGGTGAATACGGTGTATGTGAAATGATTTTCACTATATTCCTTTAATAGTCCTTATCAAGCAAAGGTGTTCTATACTTTAATAAAAGATGTGATAAGTTGGAATGTACCAGCTCTGAGAATATGGTTTCCTTCTGAATATAAATATTTCTTGCAACTTGATATAATTTTATTAAAAATAAAAAAATAATAAAATATTTATTTTTTGGGTCTTGTTCATTAAGCATTGGTTTCCAAAATTCAGATAACTTTAGGCTTAATACTTCTACTTTCTTCTCTTGCTAATCCTCCCTTTTGTAAAGGAATAGAAACTCTGAGCCCTGGGATGCTTGTGCTATGTCCGTTTCATTTGTAGCAAATTGAGTAAAAATATACTATGTGGTGTTGCCTGTATCATTATTTGCTCAGTATTGTTGCTCTTGGGTCAGCAAATTTTGGGTGCCATTCATTGGAGGAAGGGAAGAGGAAGATAGGGTCTCTGTTGGTGCTTTGAATACCTGATAAAATAACCTCTTTTTCTTTTTTTCTCTTTTTCTTTCATAGTTCCTTTCCTACACTGCTCACCAGAGCCAGCCTAAAAATTGTGCAGTGTTTGAAGTGAACAGAATTAGAGAGAGGGGGAGAGATTTATTTTACTTAGACAAACAATGGATGAAAGACAATGTTGCCAGGACTTGTGTGTGAAGCGGTCTAAAAAAAATCGATAGGAGAGAAGTGAATGAGTGCACAATACACCTCTACCTCTTGCTTGCCTTATGGGTAAAATGTGGATGCTATTTTCACTTCCTTCTAAAGCTGGGAGCTGTAAATGAGGAGCATAGTGTAAGAGCAAAGCATTGTTGATATTGGTGATAGCCAAATTTTATCTGCTGTTGTAGGTGGGTCCATATCGTTTGTGCCCTATATGTTCCAGGAGTGGCATTTGGAGACATTGACAAACTGCGGCCAGTAACACTTACAGAAATGAACTATTCTAAATATGGTGCCAAGGTAAGATTAGAAAAGATATACTATGCGTGGATAATTGTTCTTTCTTTACACATGATATTACATATTATATTTTCTTGCTTTTTGTAATTCCGTTGTTACAAATATAGTGGAATTCAGGATGAAAAATGCAATAAGTTAGTTGTGTGTTGCTGCCTTTCTTTCCCTTCCTCTCTTCTCTTACTTCTCACTGGCTTGCCCCAGTTCCCTTGTTCTTTCTGAATATGCTAATTGCCTTTTTAAAAAATGTTTGTTAGTGGCAGTCTGCCAACATGTGAATGTAAGGAAAAGAGGTTTGTATGGGAATCAGAATAGTGAAATGGAAAATGATGCGTAAGAAGAAAGGGGACAGATGTACATTCAGTGAGAACTATTTTAGGTTCTCTGGAATCCTAAATTAACAATGGATTTTCAAACAGATTGCTGCAAAGCACATTTTAGACAAAAATTGAAGGACATCAGGGCCCCACCTTGAACTGAACAACAGCCCTTTTTTTCAAAAATAGACTTTTTTATGTGAAATGTAATTGTTCTTAGTCCAGTTCATGAGCGAACACATGTGAAAATCACACAATGTACCATCACAATTGGCATAAAACGGTACTCAGCAGATACCAAAGAATTGCTATGTAGATGGCCTATTCATTGTCTTACACTTGGGGAATGTTGTGGTGCTGCTGCTTTTCAGTGTTATGTGGTATGTAGAGGTAAGTTTCAAATAGGTACAAAGAATATGGAGATATTCTTAAGTGTCAGGTAACCTTTCACAAGCAGGAACTTAAAAAAAAAAAATCTCTTCCCCTCCCCAACAACGCTCCCTCCAACATTTTGTGGTAGGCTGATATACAAAATTGTTTTATGTATTATAAGTGGTTCTCTAATGAGCTTACAGGGACCTGATTAACAAGAACAGAAGTAGGAATTTGGGCATGTTCTAAGGGTATAAAAAGGACCATAGAATAAGTAGTCCAGAGTTATTAGCATTGTTATTGGCTTAAAGCAGTGTAATATATTGACAGGATGAAACATTAACTATAGTACAAATATTTTTTGGGTCTCACATGCAAATTCTGATATGGGTAATTATATTTTGCCAAAGTTTCCTTTGCAGCTTCACTAAATCACATGTTAAATGTATTGCCTAAGCATATTCTGTCAATCTTTGACTGTATCATTGTGCCTGCTGGGCATGGGTTCCTGTGTCTCTCGTAGTTCTACTGTACTATGGAATTTTTTTCTTTAACTTCTTCTCAATAAAGCTCTTCAGTCTGTTCTTAGTCACTTTATTATTGCAGTGGAATTTACTCTATGACAACAAATGTGTTACTCTCTAACAACATGTCACTCTATAACAACAAATATAAGGCAGTTTCGGGTGAAGTAATTCCTACCTCATCTGAATAAGTCCTAAAGTTGCTGAACTGTTGGATAATTTTCTAAATGAGTTATTGGACTTCATATGATTTATTGTGATTTTATTAGTTTTTCTGATTTTAAAATGGCAAAATACTTGGTCCTCATATAGTCATTTGTTGGAAATTCAGTGCATCAATTTTTCCCTTAATTTGGAAAGGTATACTTAGTCACAAAACAAAGTGACATGAGTATAACTTTGAACTTATCATGGCAAGGATAAAGAAAAATATAGCATTCCTGAAAAATTCCATTTGATAGATAATGATTTGTGTTCCACAAACTCATTTCTGTCTACATATTGCTGTAGAAGTTGTGTAAGATGATGTATTTTAAGTAGTTCTTTGTGAGTTATAGTTTAAAAAAAAATCCTGACATGAACTTTAAATCAGACTAGCTTGTTCATCTCCCATCTGTCATGTCTGACTCTTCCCTTTGTGTACCTAGTGTAGTCTAATTTTAAATGACTGCAGTGATCAAGGCTTTCATCATTTACTGTAGAAGACTATTTTACAACATTTGGGAATTTTTTCTTATGCTTAACCTAAATTTCTTTTCCTCAATTTCATTGACAAAGCTGAAGTGATCTTGAAGATTCAGTTGATGACCATCATAAACTTGTCTGCAGGAGCCCCACAGAGTCCCAAGTTTGTCTTCACTGTACTTCCACTTGCCCCTAGGAACATACTGAGGTTGCCCTGGGATAGCTTCCTACCCCAGCAAGCCTTAGCTCTGCTTCCTTAATACCAAACCCTGCAGGTGGTGAGGGACTTTCTGCTAGCCCCAGGTGGCCACCCTGTTGGGTTATGAAAGAAATTATAGGTCCCCCTTCCTGTGGAAAAGATTAGCCTGGAGTTTCTCTTGCCCACAAACACTCCTACAGGCAGTCAGTAAGGAGACAAAACCGCAAAAGGATTTATTTCATAGGATAAAAGAATTTCACAGGGAAAACTCACTATATATTTGGAGCCAGAAAAGCAAAAAAAGTAAAATTTCTTATCCTCTCATCTAGCTATATCTTGTCTTCTGAGGGATCTTCCAGTATTTCCAGAATTCAACTTCCCTGCAGATTCTGCCAGCTCTGACTGCTGGGGTCATTGAGCCGCCAAAGCTTGAGATTCAAAGAGCTCTATTCTATCTTAACAGTTTTTAACCTGCAAGCCAGCTCCCTCATCAGCATTATTCTAATTGTCCATGAATCATCAGAACTCTTCAGAAGTTTCTGGCCTCCCTGGCTACCTGGCATTCCTCTGGCCGGAGAGGCCATCCTCTCAGATGCCTTTGCTTATAGAGGTTGATTTCTCCATTACAGGCAGACAGTGTCTTGGGACACACCTGTCTGGGTCTGGGAGTGCCAGTTCTTCTTGCTCTAGAGTCACAATAGAAAGAGAGATTTAGCATTTCATCCATTCCCTTTCCTTGACAAGGAGAACCCCCATATCCAAAATCATAAAGATATATACAGGCAGCATAAAATAATCTATAGTAATAACTGTTACATAAATGGATATAGCATAACATGGGCTTTCCAGTGAGACTACACATGCCATGTGAGTACAGTAAACCACAAGAAAACATTCCTGGCACCCTGTGAACTTCACCCCACCAAAAAAAAACATACTAGGGTTTGTGACGATGACATCTCTGTCTGTAACTTTGGGGACACTGCATCTGATATAAACATTTCAGGAATAGTCTCTGTATTAGTGACTTGAGTCTGTTCATTCTGATGCAAATTGAGACTCCAGAAAACTGATTGAGATGAAAAAAAACCAACCCATACAATGCTTGGTGCTTCAGACAAGAATTTCCTTGTTGCTGACTCCAAACATCAGAGGTAGTAATTTACCTTGCTGTCCCTTTATGGGCACATTTTCTGTAAGGCTGTAACAGAAATGAGAGGGGATAACAAAACACCTGCAGGAAACTATGAAGTATGTGGCCTATCATCTTAATGCTTGTTATTCATTGATCCATGACTTTCATATATTCTCAGTGCTAATATGTTTCAATTACTGCTTGATAGTTTGGGCACTTCCTCACTCCTTATTTGTCATTTAACTAAGAAGATATAGATTTAAATATTTTTTTAACATTCCAGTACTCTGTAGAACACTGCTTGCTTATTTTTTCTTCTCTGAATTTTCTCTAGTTTGGGGGAGGTAACCAGTAACTCAACATTGTGTCAAACAAGTCTAGGTCCTTGATGTGTTGACAGTGCAGTATGCATCAAGTACTGTTTCTGTTAAATAGTTAAGATGAAGAGGAAAGTGGGGCACAGTATCTATTTGAAAATTACCTCTGCATACCTCAGAAGACTAAACTCATCCATCAATAAAATTGAATACAAGTTTTGCCTGTGAAGAAATCATCTACATTATGTTTGCTTTTTGCCAAATATCAAGTAAAATTATATTTGAGATCTTTACTGTACTGTTTACTCTGTACTTAAGTTTAGCTTTGTTTTGCTGTAGGAATGCAGTTTCTGTGAAGATCCTCGCTTTGCCAGAACTGGTGTCTGTATTAGTTGTGATGCTGGGATGTGTAGAGCTTATTTTCACGTGACTTGTGCTCAGAAGGAAGGATTGTTGTCAGAAGCAGCAGCAGAGGAGGTAGGTTTATGTTGCACATTTTATGGAAAAATATAAAATTTAAGTGTCATAACAAAAGTTTGGGTGGGAAATTTAAAACTGTGTATTATTTTGGTTTCCAGGGGCTGATGCAGGGTTATCAACCCAGTAATTTTACTGACAACCATCCTTTTTAATGACATACATCTTTACTAATATGTTTTAAATAATGTAAATGTAATTCTGCCAGCTGCTGGATGGCATTAAGAAGGATGCAATTTCAATTTAAGGCTATAATAACAGAAAGCTTAGATGTCAGTAAATTTGCAGGTTGTCAGTAAAAAAAAAAAAAAAGAAAAAAAAAATTAAAAAAAATTCTTGGGTTGGCTGCCCCGACTCTGACATGACCAACCACAGATGCTATCCCCACTCTAGTCTACCCCCCAGCAGAGGCGTAACGAGCTTTTCAGTGTCTGGGGATGGCAGGGTGATCCCTGAAGAATGAGCGGGGGAAGGAGAAAGGAAGAGGATTTTTCATAGTTGGTAGGGTCAGAAGAGATCCGAGGAGGTCATCAAGTCCGACCCCCTGCCATGACAGGAAAAAGTACTGGGGTCAAATGACCCCAGCAAGGTATTCATCTAGCATCCTCTTTAAGACCCCTAGGGTAAGAGCCAGCACCACTTCTCTTGGAAGTTGGTTCCAGATCCTAGCCGCCCTGACAGTGAAGTAGCGCCTCCTGATATCTAGTCTGAATCTGCCCTCTGCCAGCTTGTGACCATTATATCTAGTCACTCCTGGTAGCGCTCGGGGGAACAGGGACTCCCCCATATACGTGCTGGTCCCCTCTGCCTAGTTTGTAAATGGCCACTAGAACCCTCCTCAGCCTTCTCTTGTGGAGGCTGAACAGGTTCAGGTCCTGTAGCCTGTCCTTGTAGGGCCTTCCCTGCTGTCCCCTGATTATGCGAGTGGCCCTCCTCTAACTGTGTAGGTGTACCTGCCATGGTCTCCATTCTTTACTCCAAAGGCAGCTGCAGATGCTGTCATAACAGGAGGAACTCATGCTGCTGCTGCTGAGCCAGAGGCTCTCTGACAGCTGCTTCTCGTGTCCTATTCACAAAGCCTTACAGGTCAGTGGGGGGTGTCACTCCATACCCTGCTCCCCCTACTCCTTAGATACACTACGTGCCTTGGGGCTGTGCAGGGCTTCTAGGGCTGGGCATCCTTAGCTGGTAGTTATGTTCAGGTCATACCTTATTCCTCCTTGTACCTTTAATGCAAGCGACTGTTAGAGGTGTGAGATGGGAAATGGGACCCAGTGGCAGCACGTGGCTCATGTTGGGGGAAGTGCTGAGAAGAGTTCCATACAGGGTGCTGGGTTGCCTTCAGACTTCAAGTGGTGCTGCTATACTCCGTCTTTTAACATTGCCTACATTTTTTCCCCTGGGACAGAGCTTAAAGCTCCAGTGGCTCTGGGTGTTCACGGAAGGCTTTTAATTATTTATTTATTTATTTATTTATTAACAGATGGTCGTGGACAGGTGTTTTTAGGATGTTATCTTGTGGTGTCTGTAAATTTACTGTTATATGGCAACCCTGGTCTGATGAATGTTTATTTTAAGATGCTGCTATGAGAATATAAGTGAGAGGCTTTTTTGGTAGTCTGAGAGTAGCACTAGACTTTTCGCCAGATTTCTCCTGTTTAGTTTCACCAGGAAAAATTTCAATCCGTCAAGGTCCCAATTTTAGGCTTGACATCTAGCTATGGTTTTAAAGAAACCATACACCAGCTGAGGCAGGGGAAATCCATTTGTCTGTCTTTTCATTTTGTCCCTCTCTTTCTGGAAGTGCCTCTGTGTCAGGGATGAGAGAGAATGACATAGGTGTCAGATTTGGCAGTTTCATTGCAATTTGGAAGTCCCCCTGCTTTGCTGAATTTGCCAGTTTCAGCCAGATCCATCCCTTTGCGTTGTTTAAATGATATGAACAACATCAGCTGGGCCTGAGAATCTGGCCATGTTTCTATTCTAATATTTTGTGTATAAGTTTTTCAATATAATATTTATAAGTGGCTATTTTTCATTGTTATGTAGTGATTTCTGACTTTCCTTTAGACTCAACTTTTCCGGGTTAGCAATAATTTCATCCAGTTAAGGTACTGAAACTCCATTCTCTCTACACACATTTATTCTTATTAGTTTTCTTCTTAATAATATGAACTAAGCACTCCGTATGACAAAATATTCTATTATATCATTTGTTCATTTGAAATATTTTTTTCTGTCGAGTGTCCTGACCATAGTTTTGAGATAGCAGTTCACATTTTTATTTATATAATATACACAACAGAAAATAAATTATGTATGAATGAGTGAGAAGTACACATGCATATACAGGCCTCTTTGCCATTCATTATTGACAACGGAATATCTGCTTTTTATTTTTGGAAGAGCTGACCACTCAGACCATAATTTGCTTTCCATCAGAACTATTCACTAAAATAACTAGTTCCTGCAAGATGATGTTTTGGAAAGATAAATACTGTGCTTTGAGCTAAAATGTGTTGGGACTAATGGACTGGGTTTAACGTTGATTATTAAAGAAGCCAATTGTGTGAATTCCCACCAGTTTTATGCCTTTGGCATCTTTTTCACCTAAAAATGTGTATATCTTTAAATAGCTAATTATAAACAAGTATACTTTGTTGAGGTTAATCTGAGAGAGCTGTTAATTCAAATTTCTGTGGAGGTAAACTGTGTCACTTATTATCCTACCTCTGAAATCTAAATATACAGATATATACATTTAAAACAAAATGGAATATTATACTTGTCTGTAATGACTAAGTAGGTGTTTCCTGGCAGGCAAGAATAGTATTTTGTTTGTTCACTATTGTAGAAATGGAGAATTAGCAAGGATGTGTGGGGGGCAGAGACAGGCATGAGATCTAGTGCCAGATTTAATAAACCACAGTGACAAGTTTCTATCTTGAAAATAGCCTGGGTATGAAAGACTTTAGCATAAACTGTGAAGTTGCAGTCCATCTCAGTTTCAGCCAGTCTTAGTCTGCTCTGAAATCTACCTCTGAAATTTAAATATACAGATATATACATTTAAAACAAAATTGAATATTATACTTGTCTGTAATGACTAAGTAGGTGTTTCCTGACAGGCAAGAATAGTATTTTGTTTGTTCACTATTGAAGAAATGGAGAATTAGCAAGGATGTGTGGGGGGCAGAGACAGGCATGAGATCTAGTGCCAGATTTAATAAACCACAGTGACAAGTTTCTATCTTGAAAATAGCCTGGGTATGAAAGACTTTAGCATAAACTGTGAAGTTGCAGTCCATCTCAGTTTCAGCCAGTCTTAGTCTGCTCTTGCACTCTTCAGGCACTTAGGCCAGACTAAAAACATTTGAAGAAATTGAGAGAAAAATGAAACTGAAATAAAAATAAGTTATTTCCTTATAACTATAGCAAAGCATTATGTATAGAGTTTTACATAATGCCACTTTTCTTGGGAATATCAGTGTCTGGGTAGTGATCATCTTCTGTTCAGTATTTCTTCAAGAGAAGTTTTATAGAGAGATTGTGCATGCGTGCAGGTATGTGTGAAAGAAATATAGTTAAGGGTTTCCTTGCAGGACTTTTTCTGAAATGATCAAATATTCTGTTAAGCAGTTTGGGCACCAGAGTAGTCGATGGTTCTTGGAATTGATCGAACAGCAAGTAAGAACACTTCAGAAGGAATAAAGATGGTTTTTACATTAATCTTTAGTATTTAAAATATACCAGTAAACGTATTTTTATGAATTGCTTCAAGGGAAAAAAAAATCTGACATTAGATCTGAATGCCTAATCTTCATCAATTTCAGTACAGGAAATTGACTCAGTTTTCTGATCCCTTCTTCATGACTAGTGAAATCATAATGCTGTAAATGCTTTTTTGTGTGCTGCTTTATGTTGCTGTTTGAATTGCCGATAAAGCCTTTTGCATAGAAGATTGTTCTGTTTTCTTCTCGTTAACTTGCAGAATTGTAGAACAGTGAAGTGCCTTGAATGTTGGTAATCAAGACTCATAGCAGAGATGATATCTTTTATTAGACCAACAAGATTTTTGCAAAAAAATTCTTAATTAAGAATTTTTTTGTCTAAAATCTTGTTGGTCTAATAAAAGATATCATCTGTACTACGAGTCCTGATTGCCTTTTCCTTTAGACCAATACAGCTACAACCTGGATACCTGACACACTGAATGTTGGTAGGAGCTTTCTCAGTGCTCTGTAACTGTGAGGCTTTAAACAACTTTTTAAAAATTGCATATGCAGTGAATATGTACCTAGAATAAATTTTGTATATAATTGATATTTGAATAGTATATTAAAGTTTTTCACCTAAACTATCAATTGAGAGTATTTTATGTAAATAAATCTGTCTTTTAAAGTTAAACTTTTGAAGTTGACATTGACTTTTTAAAAACTGAACAGTCATTCTTTGTCCCCAACAGTTTAATAAGTGTACTTTTTGTGTGTGAAAACAAAGTAAACTTGAAACTATATAGTTTATGAATTTGGGAAGAAAACTAAAGTTTTGTAATAAATTGTGGTGTTTCATAAACTGTGGAGTATGTAAGAAGGAAGTACTGAGCTTAAATAACAGTTCATTTAAACTAGTGCAGATCTCTCACCTGCATACTCTTAAACTAATTTAAACTTGGCTTATATCACCTTAGTTTGATTTCTTGATAAATTATGTAAAACCAGTATGCCCATTTAAAAATCTGAATGTCTATACAAGGGTTGCATCAGTTGAATTCAATTGTTAAACAATAAAAGAAAAATTAACAGAACTGATTGCAAGTTTGTGTAAGCGAGACCTAAAAATACTTATTTCTATTAAAGTTATCTATTTGAATATGTGAAATGGCTTGCCAGAATGATGGCTATATATTCTATCATATCCTTTTTTTCTAACTAGAATTATTTTCTTTCCCCTCTCATCTCTCTCTTTGTTACTGAAACAGGATATAGCAGATCCTTTTTTTGCTTATTGTAAGCAGCATGCAGACAGGCTAGACAGAAAATGGAAACGGAAGAACTATTTGGCTTTACAGTCTTATTGTAAAATGTCCTTGCAGGAAAGAGAGAAACAGCTCTCGCCAGAAGCACAGGTACTGTATTAATTCCGGAACTGCACATGTATGAATCTTCCATGTTTTAATAAGAATGGGAGAGGAGAAGGGTGGAATTGTTGTATTTAAAAATGAAATTTGGAATACACTTAATGGCATATGGTTAATGTGGCAGTAAATTATCTTTAGGTTGTACACTCAAAAGAATCAATTCCTCCAAAATGTAATATATGAAAGTCCTTTCAACTAAGCTTCTGAATTGAAATAATCCTGACTAGTTTATTATAGTAGAACAACTTCTAATTCTCCTTTAATTCTGTATTTTTTAAGGAATCTTAAAATAAAAATTAGAGGAAATAAGTAAAAGTAGCGAGGAGTTAGATATTTTGCTATGTGCTTGTTAAAGAAAATTCTTCAGTTTTTGTAGGTGGTAGCATAAGTACAGTTAAGGTTGCAGAATACTTTCTTATTGTAAGCCTTTTTTCACTTGCTGCAGAACTGGTTATGATTTTACTTGTGATTTCCTTACCTAGTATCCAGGGCATGCTGTGGGGCTTGGCTCAAATTCAGAAGAAGGAAACTGTCTGGCTCTGTTCTGAGGTGGGGATGGCAGAGAAAGATTGCTGGCAGAGGGACAGCTGAGATGAACTGCAGGGGAGAGTAGGGATGTTTGGGGAAAGAGAGAAGCTAGAGATGTATGTAAATAGTCACACACATTAGGAGCCTGTAACCAGTAGAAAACAGTGCCTCATAATGTGGAATAGAATCTGAAATCCTAAGCCTTAATACTGTATGTTGTCAACTGCAAGTTGACCAGCATGTTAAGTCAGCCCTACATTTTCTGATAGAATTTTAGGGAAAAGTTGTTTCTCCCCCCCCCCCCCCC